TCCCACATGAACGGGCGGCTCCAGCCGCGCAGGGACATTGCCAGGTTGCTCGGCGGAGCGGCGTTAAGAGCTGCTTTTCCCTTTGATGGGCTTCCATCCCCCTTGTCACTGAAGCAGGGACTGGCCTGGCACCACTGCTCCCTTGCAGGGAATGCTTCCTCACACCTGCGGGGATGTCTTCCTCCCCCATGCCCAGCCTGGCTGCAGCCCCATCCCTTGTAGACCCAGCAACATCCAGCACAGGATTAGCAAAGCTGGTTTAGCCAAGTATGCCTGTGGGTCCCAGTGGGGAGGGCAGCGAGGGCCCCGTGTCCTGTGCTGCCCGAGGGAGCTGTGGGTGCCCGCCGTGCTTACAGGACGCATCCCGGCTCTGAGGAAGAGGAGGAAGAGGTGCTGGTTTGCTCCTCAGCGGGCAACGGGCTGACGTTTCTCTCTCTTGTGCATTAGTGAATGTGATGCTGGACCCTGAGACGGCAAGCCCCTACCTGATGCTCTCCAAGGACCACAAAACCATGTGGCTGGAAGCTGGACAGCAGAACCTCCGTGACACCCCCAAGAGATTCACAGGGAGCCCCAGCGTCCTGGGCTCTCTGGGGTTCACATCTGGGAGGCATTACTGGGAGGTGGAGGTAGGGGATGGGGACAGCTGGGCCGTGGGGGTGGCCGTGGAGTCTGTGCGGAGGAAGGACGCGCTCAGCACAGCCATGGAGAAGATCTGGGCCCTGCGGCTGGACTGGGATCGCCGGTACACGGCGCTCCACATGACTCCCACCCCAGTGGCACTGGCGGAAGGGCCCCGGCGGGTCAGGGTACACCTGGACTATGAAGGGGGCCAAGTGACATTCTACAATGCAGAGAACATGACACACATCTTGGAGTTCAAGGCCACCTTCACCGAGAAGGTCTTCCCATACTTTTGGCTCTGGTCACAAGAAACCAAGATCCGGCTGTGTGCCTGACGGGGATGGGTGTCTCCCAGCCTCGTGTCCTGTGCCCTTGGCTAGCTCAGCAGGCAAGAGGTGTGGGAATGATGCAGCGTTGCATTGCAAACTCACCGCAGCTCCACCTGGGCTGGATCCTCTCTGCACGTTGCTGCATCTCCTCCTGCCAAGTCCTTCGGAACATTAAAGATGTGTTGTTCTGCCTGGGGGTGTCTGCACGCTGGTATCCCGGCCAGATATCACAGTGACGGTGTCCCACCTCTCCCTGTAGGTGCTGAGGACACACGCAGATAAGTGGGAGAGGGGCAGGGAAGATGCTGTGGTTGCCCATGCTGGTTTTTGGCAGCGCTGCGTGGCTGGCTTTGGTGTGTTGTGGGAAGCATGGGGGTGCAGCCACCCCACACCCACAGCTCAGGGTGGAGCTGAGTATCTGTTGATAGTGGTGGTAACTGCTCCCATCAAAACCAGTAAAAACTGTTGCTTGAAAATGTTCAGGGAGGGGACAGAGTGGACCTGAGGGCTGGAATGAGGGCACAGACCCAGCTGCTCCAGGCTGGAGGAGTGACAGGGGTGTGATGGGGATCTGTGAGGTCCTGGGTGGTCAGAGAATCATAGAACCATCTGGTTGGAAGAGACCCTCAAGATCATCGAGTCCAACCGTTCCCCCTGCACTGTCAGGGTCCCTAAACCATGTTCCTCAACACCAAA